CACAAAATTTTAAATACAATTATAAATACAATTGAAGCAATAATATTTATTAAATAAGTAAATTATAACCTTTTAAATATCAAATAACACGTTGAATAATATAAAAATTACCTTCTGCCGTAGATTATCTCCCATTCTCTTGTAAGTTACTATTACAATAAATTCTTGAAAAATATAGTACGGTTCTCTTTTAATATTACATGTAATATAGAAAAATAATGTGTCTAAATTTGAGAAATATTGAAGAAAATTTCACCATTAAACTTCAGTTCAGAGTGAAATTACTTTTCCATTTGTGGCAGCACTAGCAAATTTATATCTGTTGGGTTACCTGCACGTGGAGCGTTGATCCGCTTTACTCGCGTTCGATCTGTTAGATCTGGATACCCTTCTGGTGTAATATTCATTTTAAAGAAAGGTTGAATAAATGAAAGGAAAATTATCCCCCACTATGCAACTGGTTTGGTTTATTAATTTTCTTTACAAAATCAGAATCCAAAAATCGGAATCTCAGATAACACAACCGACTTCCTTCGACACTAAAAAGCCAGTGAATGCCGAAACGACGCCGAGACATAAGATCTAATGTAACGTACTTTTGTTAATATTAATATCCAATAATATAAATCATTTCCCTACTTATTATCTAACAAGTCATTTGATTGGTTCCTCGCTCACTAAGGACGAGTGGTTTTACATGTTGGCGATGTTTCGATGCCATGCAAACAAGCTTTTATTTGTTGCTTCGATTGTATCAATTGACAGTTTGATTTGGCGCGCTTAAGTACACGTCATGTGGAGCCATCTACCATAGACCGTATTCACATGGTACCGATGGTACCGTACCTTAACAGTACTTACACTACACACGAGATGCAGGATAGAACTTCACCTAATGTATTTTTGTGTCCAACGTTCCGAAATATTGATCGTGTGTTTTTATTATGCGATAAGTTTAGAAAGATGGTAAAGTCGACAGATGTAAAAAGTTCTTTTTTATTAAATTTGCATATAAAGATACATACATATATTGAATTGCGTGGGTAGAATTGTTCACGATCTTCTGGCAGCAATACAACACGCGCATATGATGAATCATCTATGTACTAATAAACAATTACGTTACTTTTCTATTTGTAACTTTATAGCACAACGTACAGGATAGACTTTGCATCTTATGGGACTTTGTGTCTGGGGCTTTAGAGTCGAAAAAACTCTTGCCATTTATGTAATTCCTAAACTTACCGTTTTATATCGTAGAGGGCATAATAAAAACTCTGACTTTTTACACGACTGGTATTTCAGAACGTTGAACACAAAAATACATTAGGTGCAAGGCCTATGCTGTACCTCGTCTGTGTTCATAGTTAGATTTAATTCCAATTCCAACCACTACTAATGTTGTAATCTTATTCTATACTAAATCGGTAACGTTGGTAGCGACACGAAAATGGTAAGGGTCTTTTAGGCCCCAAAGCCTCGGACAAAAACTCCCATAAGATGCAAGGTCTATCCTGTATGTCGTCTCTGCCTGTACTTCGTTTGTACTTCTATCTCGTCTATGATAATATGAATTAGACCGTCGGTATGTCAGTTACCGACATCAAATAAACGCCGCAGCCGCTTTGATGCGAACTGTTGGACAACTGGATTAGAATGATTTTCATACATCTCACTTGCACAACGTACGCCATTTCACATAGGACCACTATCGCTGTACGTTTATGTTAGTTCTAGGGATTCGGCAAAGTTCGATCCACCTGAGATGTATATAATCAAATTTAAGTGTCATAATAAAATGAAATTGTAAATAGTTATAAGTAGTGATATATGTTATACAATTAAAAAAAATATTCAATCATAAAATATTTTACTGATTTTTATGATTATCAACAATATTATCGTTAATGTACTGATCTTTTCACTTAACCTATTTTAAGCCAAAGAAATTATATGGAAATATATATATTGTAACGAGAGATTTGTTACATACATACGTGTTACATGTTTACTGAAGCTTTTTAATTGTAATATTAAAATATGGACAGAATAAAAGATATTATGTGTACAACATAAATCAGATATTAATACGTATGTATAACACAAGACAGGTTTGTAAAACGTAATAGAAAGCAAACAAAAATATGCAAAGAAAATATTTTCTTTCAAACTAATGTAACTAACAGAAACATATTTATTAATAAATGAACGGAATACTACATTAAATTTGGAATTATAATGAATGAAGAATGTCCAAGTTGTAGGCAGATAATAAATACATCATGTTCAAGACTTGTGAAAGATAGTTGTGGTCATATTAAATGTCGCATGTGTTTAGTATATGAAGAACATGGCTGTAAAATTTGTAACAATGAACACTGTATACAAAATATTGGAAATTATGGTAGAAAATTTACATTCTTTCACATTTGACATTAATAATTAATTATAATAATTTTATTAATTTGTTGATATTCTTGTGCAGAGTGTTCTCCTTCAACGAAAGATGAGCTAAATAATATTTCTACTTCTCATAAAAATGATACAGATAAAGAGGTATTACCTTTAGAACTAGTTATTAATAAGGATTCTAAACTTAAATCTAATAATTTCGAACTCATTTCTATTGATTACATAAATAATTATGAGTTATATTGTGGAGATATATTTAACAAAACAAAAGAAATATATAAATCTTGTATAACTGACATTAAAAATAATGATATTTCAAAAAAATTATATATTTCCAACATAGAATCCAACAATATACTTTTAAATGTGTATCCACATTTAAGTAATAATGTAGTAGTAAAATCATCATCTTGCTCTAAAGCATCAGAAATTTGTAATTTGGTAAGTTTTATAGTTTATATATAATATCTATCAAATCAAAACTATATTACAATTCCTTTTTAGGAATGTAAAACAGAATTTTCAAGAAAAGAAAAGTTAATAAAAAATAAATCTTCGAAACATCCTGATCGTAATCACATTACAGTGATACCAGGAACACCAGAGAAATATAAGTGCAACATTTGTACCAAGATTTTTCGCAACAAAAAAGAAAAATGTTATCATGATGCTTGTATAACAGGTGTTAAACCTTATCAGTGTTCTTTTTGTGACAGAAGTTTTATTAAACGGTCTCATTTCGAATATCATGAAAGAATTCATAGAGGATACAAACCATTTAAATGTAATCTTTGTCAAAAAGCATTTCCTCAACAAAATAAGCTTAATAGACATATGTATTCACATACTAGTAAGTTCTTGTAATACAATAAAATTTGTTTCTACATTATTTAAATTTAATTTCTTGATCAATTTTAACAGTGCAAGTTACAGTAAAAAAAATGAATCTGCTAATTTAATTAACTTAATTTTAGGAGAAAAACAATTTACATGTCCTAAATGCGACAAAAAATATACTAAACAGAATGATTTAAAAAATCATTTAGATGTACATAATGGTACAACTACATATTCTTGTAAAGTATGTGAAAAAACTTTTAGAATGTTAACTAATTTGAAACGTCATCTAAAAACACATACAAGTAAGTAACTAAACCAAAAAAAAAATAAAAATGTACAATGTAACTAGATGCATGTAATATTAGGTTGATATTAATATTTAAATAATTTTCCAAACTTTAAAGTGGTAATTCCTAAAATTAGCTTTTCATTTATTATTATTTGTCAATTTTACTGCTTTAAGCTACAATATTGCCTTTTTTCTTAAATTTTGGCATTCTGGAAGTAAGAAATTCCTCAAGACTTTCCATTACCATAATTTTTGAAGCATACTTTTGTTTAGCCAAGGAGATGGTCTAAATGTTTAAAAATTAATAGTCTGTTAAAAACAAATTAAGGGAGTATGGAGAATGAGCAAGAACTTCATAGTGTAACGAAGTAGAATAATTCTTTTAGTAATTTTGTTGTTATTAATTTTATTATTTTGAACACATTTTTTCTAACAGGATGTTTTATGAACAGGTGAAAGGCCATATGTATGTGATGAATGTAACAAGAGCTTTAAAGACAAATCATTATTAATCCGACATAAAAAAACACATGGAAAAGATCGACCATTTTCATGTGCACATTGTAGTAGAGTATTTTTATCTAAAAGTGAACTGAGACGACATATAGCTGTGCATTCAGGTATATTATATTTATACTAGAAAAATATATTACAATAATATAATAATGTAACACTTATTTTAGATGAGAAACCATTTTCTTGTGAATACTGTGAAACTCTATTTAGAAGAAAAGATAATTTACATCGTCATATTAGACATCATCATCCACAACATCATAATCCATCTTTTAACATTAATAAAATACAGAATTCATTACTTGAAACAAGTACAAAATTAGCCAAAACGAAACAAATAAATTCAAAACAAAAACAGAAAACAAAAAAAACACAAAAAATTACGTCCAATTCAATACAAAAAACTCCAACTAAAGTATCAGTAGTTTGCATAAGTTCTTGTGACCAAATCAGTTCTAGACTAGATTCAATGGGTAACATTACGCCTATTATAAGAACCACTAATGAAGTGAGTAATGCAGTGTCAGTTATCAATGGACCAATTAGTACAATTAATACAAAATCAGACGATAAGACTGATATCAAAAGAAAGACATTTACCTACACAGAACCAATACCTCTTGCTGAGGCAGTAGTAATAAATAAACGGATTGAGGAAAAATTATATCCACAGAATGTTTCAAATCATAATTATTTTCTTAGAAATTGCTTGAATTGTACAGATAAATCATATCCCATCCCTTTAAATCAAATATCCCGTACAAACGCTAATCTGAAAAATTCTGTGCGTAAAGTAACTTTACATGAAAATTCACCTACAGAATTCAGTTCAAATATGCAAACAAATTTTACATGTGATATGGAACAAGAAATGAAAAATGAAAACAATATGAAACTGAAGGTCGACGATAATAGTACTCTTATAGATAATTTCAAGAAGTGTACATAAATAATAGTAAAAAAAGATAAAATAAAAAATACACTATCTTTAACACTAGAAGGACCAGCAGGATCAAAATGATCCATTAACAACTTTCTAAAAAAAAAGTGAGTTTTTAATAGTGATAAGTAATTATCAACATTTGTATCTTTCTGACTTTGTTTTCTGTATGTTTGCTTTTATTGGTATCGATATAAGACAAATTTGTTGTATCATGTTTTAAATTATATAAACATTCACGTTTAGAAAGTTGCTAATCGGTCATCTTGACCTAGCCGAACTTTCTAGTGTTAAGAAGTCAAAATGCATAGGTAGACATATACAAGGTGATTGACCTAACTTGACGACTTAAAGTTACTCATAATCCATTAATTGTACGAAGAAGTGTATGAAGTAAAAATTACATGATTTCAGGGGAAAAAATGTGTTAGTATAATTTTCTTCTTCTACATTATTTACACATAAAGTTTTGAAAACCATCTTTATTTTTTTCTTCAGAGAAATTAAAAGAATGTTAAAATTCGAATAAATAAGTATCAAGGTATAATAGGTCTAATGTGGATATTTATTTAAATATTTGTAGTGGAAGTTTGGACGAATATCGTTGGATTGGGCATAATTCAACGAAAATTTTGTAACCAGCTCGTTCGACTTAAAAAAATATGCAAGAATATATCATTAGTGTATGTGTAAAATTCTCCAGAAGTACACTAAAAAATGTGTACCTGTCATTGTCAAACAATTCGTTGGCTGTATCAGTAGTAATGGTTAACAATTTGAACACATTTTACAGTAAAACTTTCATTGTAAATATTTCAATAAATGTGCACTTTAGACCTATTATGCCTTAATACTTATTGCCTCAGTTCGTAATGCTCTTTTAATTTCTGTAAAGAAATATAAGGTGTTCCATTAAGAAAAAAGTCAGGGTGACCTTCAAAACTTTGTGTAAACAATGTAGACAAAAAAATTATTCTAATGTATGTTCCCGGTAAAATCATGCAACTTTTGCTTTATACACTTTTTTGTATAACGAATAGTTTACCAGTAATTTCATGCCATCGAGGTAGATGAATCACTCTTATACAGGGTGTCCCATTTTAATTAATTATTGATTAATTATCTCCCAAAGTACTCGTTTATATGCGAACGGCAATAAATGACCTTAAGTGACCTTCAAGGGCAATAGTATTATAGGTCGATGAAGTCATCTCGGAATAGGCTGCATGCCTACCTAAATGAAAATGTATAGTTACGTTTAAAAAAACCAAAGTCACCTTGAAATCTCGAAGGTACATCCACCTAAATAAGATTCGCGATCATCATAAAGTGTCCCCTTCGAGACAGTAAGTTTACCTTCAAACACTTTTTGCGATAACGAATACTTTGGGAGATAATTGCGTGGAAATATTAAAATAGGACACTCTGTATACGGGTACATATGTATATACATATAATATGCATATGTATTTATACGCGTTTTATACATATTCAAAAATAGGCCTCCTTAATGTTTCTCGTTGAATACATATTCTTTAAAAAATATGTTAACGGAAGATAAGCGGTTTTAAGTGGCAACATGACAAAATAAAAATAAATTTTTCTTATTACTTTTTTTGATATTAATGAGATTGTTTTACAGTCCAGTAATAGTTCAAAATAAGATAAATGTGACGATTTTAAATACATTAATATTGTATGTGATACAATAGATGTAAGGACACCACCATTGAAAATGTAAGACGCAATACTTCAATAATTAGGAAGAAATAATAGCAATGTATTTGCGATTGTTAATCTTATTCCAAACTGTCTTCATAAAAAATATGCCACTGATACGGGCGTTGTGTTTGCCACTTAAAATCGTCTCTCTTCGGTTTACGTACTTTTTCTTATAACATCAACTTAATAGAAAATACATATTATGGTCGTCTGTTTAGTAGACCGTGGTCTATGTGTCGGGTAGAAGAGAGGTGAGGGGGTGCGTACGTACTCGCATGTTAAAAAATGCATCCTTCAATAATTTGAACCACAAAATTTCGGAAAACTTTTAAAAGTTTAAAGTGCTAAAATTGAAAATAATATTTCACTACCACACAACCTTAAAAATTAAAAAAAAAATTAATCTGATATACATTAAAAATATGAAATTGCATAAAATTAAGTAATAATTGACAAATGTAAAAAATAATAATGTAATAAAGTTTATAATGTCATAAAAACATAAATAGTTTTTACTATAATGTAACGAAGGTAATATGTTATTATGTTTTAAAATGTACATTATAAGTATAAAAATACTACAAAATATACGAATTCTGATGTGTATCAGTCTTTTTCCTTTTTTTTTTTTTTTTTTTTTTTTTTTTTTTTCTCCCCCCCTAAAGTAGTTGAAGGAAATTTATAATTTCCAGAAAGTATAGTAATTCTATTTTCTTAACATGTACCCTGCTGTTTATTTACTTATTATTTGTGTTACCTTTATATACTTATCCTAATTCTTAAAACGTAATTTATAAGAAAATAACGGAAAACACAATATAAAAGTAGGAATACTTTTAGAGTAAATATGCAAATGAACCTATATTTATTCAGCTCTATTATAGCATAATTATATTATATATGTATATAATCTACAATGTAATTATATATTTCATTACATAATATATAGTAATTATTAAACACATACTTTATGAAGTTTTATTAAAAAAGAATTATGAATTGCCGAAATATACTAAATATTTGATAAAGTTAAATCAAAAATAATTAATTAGGGTTTTTCGCAGATTATAATATATTTATATAGCTTAAGATACATAACTTTTATATCATGTAATTTATAGTAACGGCAGTGGTGGACACAGGTATTACCACAATACACAATTGAATACATAAACATTTATAATTATTAAACAATTTCTTTTATGTATTTTTCTTCTTCTATATGAAATTTTATTCATAAAACAAAATATATTCTAAAAACGGAAATCATATTGAACATGTTATGCCCCCCGGTATCCACTTGTTGCAAATACCCGTTGCGTATCACCATTGCGTATCACTGAGGACGGACAAGCGTTGCCCCGTTGTGTTTTGATACGACCATACGCAATGGGCTCAATCTGGTCTTTGTTGGTTTTTCGCCGTCGCATCAAAGAAATTTTCTCTTGTTGTCATTGTCTCTTGCATCTTCATTCCTGCCGTAGATGCCCGAAAATTAGGAACATTTATACTAGCCGTATCGTTAGGCCGTATCCTCTGTTTTGATACAGATACGCAGTAATGATACAAGAAAAAGTCACACCGGGTTGCGGAATCATTGGATGATACGCAACGGTGATACGCAACGGTGATACGCAACGAGTACTTGCAACAAATGAATACCGGGCTTTAGGATACACCTCTGGACGGACGGACACGTATATAAGGACAGAAGAGTTAGAATTTGAGAGATATTTCATTTGTGGTATTTATTGAGATTTGGTGTATGCTGTTTTTTTTTTTTTGTAAAATACTTTCGATACTTGCGGTCAAAATGGAGTTAAATAAGGAGGAAACAATTAAGTTAATTGAGGTGTATCGTAAGTGGGTTTTGATTTGGGATCCAAAACACCCAGATCACTACAATAAAGTACGCAAAGAAGATGCATGGGAGGAAATTGGACGAGAAATCGGGAAATCGCCAGAGCAGTGCAAAAAGAAGATGGAGTACTTGTTAGCAGCTCTTCGAAGAGAGAAAATGAAGATGAAGAAAAGTACTGGTACCAGAAATGGTGAGCACCTACATTTTTTCAAATCAGGTCAATGAAACATAATTATACATATGTACAGTAAAGTAATGCAATACTACAATTAATCTAATAATAAATTAAATATTTCCAAAATACTATTGTATAATCTTTAATTTAAATAATATATACAGTTATCATACATTAGTACACAATTTCCAACTTATTCTAGAAATTTTTTATGAATTTGCAATAAATTTAATCCTTTTCTTTTTTTTCTTCTTTCTTTGTAGGAGCACATCAGGTGTATAAAAGCTCTTGGTTTGCCTTCAACAGTATGAGATTTTTATGGGATAAGAACAAGCCTAGACCAACACTGAATATTGTAAGTAAATCTTGTGTATCTTAATGAAATAATATTTATTTTGAAACTAAGTCACAATTCCTAAAAGCTACATTACAAAAATTGTTATGTAACTTGAAAAAGGCAATTTAAATTAAAATTACATTAAATTTAAAATTCAAGTTTTATTTAATTGTAATGTAGCCTGGAAACAATCCCAAAATATCAAATACTTTCTCAGCACTGATTCTTTCCTATGCATAGTCATCTTGCCACATTAGTTTCCTTTCTTTCAAAAACTAGTCAGCCAGTTTTTCCCTCATATTTAACAATCTAGAGTTCCCTTCTCATGGGAAGAAGTGAACCCATCTCAGTTGTTTCCCTCCAATTTCCCTTTGTCACAACACCTGCTTCTTCAGAATCAAATGTTCCTGGTGGAGTGTACAGTCCAACCAAATTTGCTCTAAGAAGTTGTGTTGCAGAATAACTGCCAACACAAAAAGTGAAGTCTTCTCTAGTTGCGACAGCAGGGGTTTCCATACTACACGGAAAACTAATGAGGCTATACCGATGACATTTTCAACAAATCTACAGGCGCTGCAAAGCCCGTAGTTAAAAATTCGTCGTTCCAACAATTTGGCGTAGTAGCTAGAATAAACTTTTATCAAGTTTTCAGACAGAGCACAAGCTTTATTGCCAAGGAAAAGAAATGATAATTCTTCTTCTCTTTTATTTAGATGAGTAGACTGAGGTATATTTAAGCTGTTTTCCTCCATTTGTTTGTACAATTCAGTGTTTGCGAATACTGCACCGTCGGAAATTCTACCCTGACAATCCATGTCTATAAATATGAAATTGTAATTAGCATCAACTAAAGGAAGAAGCACGATGCTAAAAAATCTTTTGTGGTTCATGCACTCACTCCTATTTTCCATAGAATACTGCAGAGTAATGTATTTGCCATTGATAAACCATATATTCCATATATGTAGTTTCATACTCTCTAACTACTTTTAGCTATTCTTCTTGTGTTTTTGGGATCTGTAAACAACATGCTAAATTTCTATCTTTTAACCTTAACTTTATAATTCATAAGAAAAAGACTACTACATAATATTACTTTCTTTAAGATCCAGACTACAGAAAGCGAAGAAATGGAGAAACTAGAAGAAGTTGTGATGGGTGGTGGAGAAAGAATTTCTTCTCTGGCTACACCAGAGAAAGAATACACCTCTGGTCCCAGCACATCCACGCAGTATCCCGAACAGCCCTCGCCGAAAGTCAAAAAGCTGAAGACGTCCAAAAATCAACGTCTCAATAAGGCTTTTGAAATATTAGTGGCCTCAGCTAATCAGTGTACAGATGAAAGTTACCATTTTGGGAACTTCGTAGCGTCGAAATTACGTACTTTTGATGAAAATGTACGTTGCGCCGTGCAAAACGATATTCTTAATTTATTTCTCCGAGCTAGCACGGGCTACTATAACAATTCAAACCCTTACCCCACACACATTTTTGAGAATCCACACACTGCCCACCCTCCACGGTACCCATCCACGTCCTTCGCCTCTACTGAATTTTCCTCCTCATTACTGAATTCACAAAAACTACGGACACACAGTCCCGAAGTTCATCCATCTCCAACATCGCCTTCTTCCTCGACCTCTTCGACGTTTTCCAACGATTTCATAATTCAGGATTTAATTTAGATGGTTCGGTGCGTTTTCTTTTTGATATGTACCTACACTTTGTATGGAAAAACAAAAATAAAAAATGACTTTTCCGATAATCTAAATTAGATAGGATTTTAATCCATTTATTTTAAATCGTCTAAACCATTCTTCTATTTCTGTAAAATAAATTACAGTTCACTTGCCTACATGTAGTCTTTCAATATTTTCAAAATATAAATATATTTTAGTAGCCAAAAAACATAGTGTTACTGTCAATCTTTCCTAACCGGAAATTACTTTTCAAAATGTAGTGTCCCTTTTACAAATTTTCGATCCAATTGAAAATAACAAAAACTCAAAATCAATTGGATGCATTCCAGTGAAATTTTTATACAGTCCACTTACATACTGAAACTTCAAGTCAGCCAACAAACTTGAGCCACTAAGTCACCTCCCTACCTGCATAAAGTTTTTATATCCACCGACGCGGTGACTTTTTTTTCTTTTGTATGTCTTTTTGTTGTGTTGTATAATTTTTTTCGTTCTTTTGTATGTTATATAATGCAGATAAATGTACGAGGCCGCTGCTAACTGCAGAGGCAAAGTCATTGCTGACAGTTCACAGTGGAAATTAAGGTATACTCGTACATATACTAGCCGTACCGTCAGGCTGTATCATCTGTTTTGATACGGATACGCAGCAATGATACGGGAAAAAGTCACCTCCTTACTGCGTTACGTATTACTGAATGATACACAACAGGTACTTGAAACAAATGGATACCGAGCTTAAAGGGGTACACCACCCTGAGGCTTCTGTATCGAATTTTGTTTCGTAACGGTGCAACGCTTGTCTATCCACACTGATACGCAATGGTGCAACGCTTGTTTGTCCACACTGATACGCAACGGGTATTTGCAACAAGCAGATACTCATTTTTATGTAACCTTATCTACTAAAAGTTACAGTAAATATAGTGTTATAACACCTTGAAAGTATTTCCTTATTTTTATATTTCAGTGACTTTGAACACTATTGTGTTGTTTGATTGTTGAACACTATTGTGTCATTGAACTCCCCACAACAACTGCTTTTATATAAGATAAAAAGAATATAAAAATTTAAAATAAATCAATTTAAAAAAAATTCGTGGTATCGCCATTACACGAAAACCATTGTAAAATTAAAAAATCTATTTAAGGCATCGTATTGTGTATAAAAAATAGTCAAATTTTGTCTTCTATTTTTCTTACAAATTTATTACTTAACAAAAAAATTCTGAAAACTAATAGCGTGAATACCTTGTATACATACATAATAAACAAGATTTAAATAGGAAAGTTTTGTTTATATGTATGTACATCCCAAATCATAATAACATTACTTTTATTTACCAAAACAAATGAAGGACAATTTTGTATCAGTTAAAAAGTTGATTTAGTAAGTAAATTTTCAAGATTGAAAATATTGAGAACATATAGCAACAGCAACTGAACAAAGAAAAATTATTCTAAATTTATGTAAAGAACATAAGTCATATGCAATAATCACACAAGTAGTTCGAAGAAGGTGCTTTACTATTCATAGTAAAAGAAAAGTTTACTGCTACACTATTAAAAAGATTAAAGGTAAATCAAATACAATTACTCATAGAGTGAACAATTGCTTAAGTCATTTAAAAGAAAACACAAAAAGTAATTAACATAATTCAAAACATCTGAAAATGAATTCATCAGAAATTGTAGCACTGATAGTCAATGATCATAACAAGAAGTTAACTTAAAAGTGATATATATGCAGGTATCTGAAAATGCCAAATACTTTACAGGTTTCATTCAAGAAAAGCTTTACATCAAAGAGACCAATAGAAAAAAAAGAATAGAAGTTCAGAAAAAATTTTCAAATGAAACTATTGAACTATTTTCTGATGACAGTAAATTTAATGCTTTTAAATCAGACAACTAATATTAGTATAGGAATACTTACATGGATTTGCAAAATCTACATTTTATGATAAAACATGGAAATGATGTCAATAAAGACATATTAATCAAAAATTTGGTAAACAGTACTGGAAAATTGAATTTATCGTTTAATTTTTATTTTCAGCAAGATAATACTCCTGCACATATAGAACATATTATCTAACAGTAGAATTTATATAATGTAGCACATACTTTGGAAACACCTTGAGTTTTAATCCAAACCAAACTAAAAATATCTGACAGCAATTTAAAAAATGGATGTATAATGTCACATAACAATTAAATTAAGATTACAATTCTTAAGAGAATGGAATAAAATTAATATAATTAAATTGAAAAAGCTGGTTCATTTGAATCCAAATATTATAGGTTCAAAATAATGCTAATGCAAAAAGGATTTATCACAAAATATTGAATTATATTGATGTAGTATGTAAATGTATCATTATTAAAGATCTGATAATACTTGTATGAGTGTGAGATGATCAGAAAACATTTTTATTAGTTGTATGTTATCAATTTTATTTATATATAGTCGGGTCAAAATTAGGTGGATAAATAGCATAAATGATTATCATACAAGTTTAATCAAAACAACATTATTAATATTAACTTAATTTTTACTTATTACATATCCCTGTGATACACAGACTATTTAATTCAAAACTAAAAGCCATACTAACATCAGTATACAAGTAAATTGCATTTAATGTAGAAGATTGTTCAGGAAGGATCAAATTAAGTGGGCATATTGCAATAAACATAAGCAATTAATAATTACTACTTAGTATTACCACTGTTTACTAAAATTACAATTTCCTTACTGTTGTAGTATACTGTTAGGACGTGTAATCTGAAATGTCGGATTTCTAATCATTCGCAAATTGGTCGCTTAACGAATTAATTGAGTGTTGAAAAGTTTTGAGTATTTGCATGTTAACGTAAAGTTAATACGCAAAAGCCAATTAAGACGAACGTGATATTTTAATCCAAATTAAACTTCATATTAGACGATCTAATATTTATTATTTTTTTTAATGTAATTCTCATTAGCACTTTCGAATGCTGTCTCTAAAATATTAAAAAAATTCTAATTTATGTCGCTTGTCTAAAGGAACTTCAGCATCTAATACACTCTACAAATTTTCTATTATATTCGACCCAAACTCTGTGATGGTCGTTCCAGCAGTTTTACAGGATGAACCGTATAACGTAGTCACTTCTATTATTTTCGTTGTTAATGAACCAATTAAAATTTTTATTGTCATAGATGATACAGTTTTGAAGGACCTTCAAATTGATGATACTAAATTTTTTCTGTTTATATTTTTCAAATAAGTTTTCAAGGTCACTTTTAATTATTTTATGTATAACCCTATAGTTTTATTGATTAATCAATTACATAGTAGACATTGAGGTTAATTCAACTAGTCTAAAAAAAATATTTTTTATATAATGGAATGATACAACGATAAAAACATTTAGATGAAAAGTAATTTTGTATCAGCTTAATGATATGCGATGTTTCTAATCTTAAGCTTCGAACTTACTAAAATTCACAGTATTATATTTTTAAAATGCCGAAATTATAATTACTTTTTTTGTATCATAGCTGTATTATTATCGAACTTCAATAAATGAACATATTTTGTTACTACAATTCTATTCCCTTCATTGTAATATTATGTTAATTACATTGTTACAATATTTCAAAGTGCTATTGCATAAACAAATAATATATAAACATTCTTAAATCATTCAACATGATTAATTATATATTTAACAATCTGTTACGTAAAAAATATATTCGTCCTTTATACATTCATTTTATTTT